GAATGTTCCATGGGCACTAGAGAAGAATGTGTATTCCGTTGCTTTGGGGTGGAATGTTCTGAATATGTCTGTGAAGTCCATTTGTTCCAGTGTGTCATTTAAAGTCTTTATTTCCTTGTTGATCTTTTGCTTACACGATCTGTCCATTTCAGTGAGGGGGGTGTTAAAGTCCCCCACTATTATTGTATTGTTGTCGATGTGTTTCTTTGCTTTTGTTATTAATTGCCTTATGTAATTGGCTGCTCCCATGTTAGGGGCATAGATATTTACAATTGTTAGATCTTCTTGTTGGATAGATCCTTTAAGTATGATATAGTGTCCTTCCTCATCTCTTATTACAGTCTTTGATTTAAAATCTAATTTGTCTGATATAAGGATTGCCACCCCAGCTTTCTTTTGGTGTCCATTAGCATGGTAAATGGTTTTCCATCCCCTCACTTTCAATCTGGGGTGTCTTTGGTTCTAAAATGAGTCTCTTGCAGACAGCATATTGATAGGTCTTGTTTTTTAATCCAGTCTGTTAGCCTGTGTCTTTTGATTGGGGCGTTTAACCCATTTACATTCAGGGTAACTATTGAAAGATAGGAATTTAGTGTCATTGTATTGCCTGTAAGGTGACTGTTACCATATATTGTCTGTGTTCCTTTCTGGTCTATGTTGCTTTTAGGGTCTCTCTTTGCTTAGAGGACCCCTTTCAAGATTTCCTGTAGGGCTGGTTTTGTGTTTGCAAATTCCTTTAGTTTTTGTTTGTCCTGGAAGCTTTTTATCTCTCCTTCAATTTTCAATGACAGCCTAGCTGGATAGAGTATTCTTGGCTGTCTATTTTTCTCATTTAGTGCTCTGAATATATCCTGCCAGTCCTTTCTGGCCTGCCAGGTCTCTGTGGATAGGTCTGTTGCCTAATCTAATGTTTCTACCATTGTAGGTTACATATCTCTTCTCCCGAGCTGCTTTCAGGATTTTCTCTTTGTCTATGAGACTCGTAAGCTTTATTATTAGATGTCGGGGAGTTGACCTATTTTTATTGATTTTGAGAGGGGTTCTCTGTGCTTCCTGGATTTTCATGCCTGTTTCTTTCCCCAAATTAGGGAAGTTCTCTGCTATAATTTGCTCCATTATACCTTCTGCCCCTCTCTCTCTTTCTTCTTCTTCTGGGATCCCAATTATTCTAATGTTGTTTCGTCTTATGGTATCACTTATCTCTCGAATTCTGCCCTCGTGATCCAGTAGTTGTTTATCTCTCTTTTTCTCAGCTTCTTTATTTTCCATCATTTCATCTTCTATATTACTGATTCTCTCTTCTGCATCATTTATTCTAGCAGTTAGCGCCCCCATTTTTGATTGCACCTCATTAATAGCCTTTTTAATTTCTACTTGGTTGGATTTTAGCTCTTTTACTTCTCCAGAAAGCGTTTCTCTAATAACTTCCATATTTTTTTCAAGCTCAGCTAGTATCTTTAAAGTGATGATTCTGAACTCTAGATCTGACATCGTACTAATGTCCGTATTGAGTAGGTCCCTGGCAGTCGGTACTACCTCTTGTTCTTTTTGTTCCGGTGATTTTTTCCGTCTTGTCATTTTGTGCAGAGGAGAATAGATTAATGAGAGAACAAAATGCTAGCAGAATAACCACGTCCCCAGAAAATAAACTCTAAACAAATCAGAAAAGACCTAAAGCAGTGGGATAAGAAAGGGAAAGAGAGAAAAAAGAAAAAGAAAAAAAAAAAGATAAAGATAAAAACAAAAACAAACAAAACGAAACAACAACAACAAAAGGAAAATCAGAATATGATCAAATGTGATCTATATGGTATATAGATCAGTGCCACACACTAGATTTGGGGTGTATTTTGGTCTTTTAGAAGAAAGTGCCTCCCAAAATTTTAAAGAAAGAAAAACTTATATATGTACAAAAATAAGGGTTGATATGATGAAGGGATGGAATATGATTGTAAAAATGGAAATTATAAAAAATGTTATAAAAGGAATTGATAAGAAGTTGTTTGAAAAAAGAAAGAAGAGGATTTAAAAAAAGAAAAAACAAAAAGAGAAAAAAAAAGGGAGAGGATGTGATCAGGCAAGGGAATAGAAAGCACCATATACTAGAGATTTAGGGTATATTTTAATCTGTTAGAAGAAACTATCTCAAAATTTTAAAGAGAGAACAACTTATATATATAAGCCAAAAATATGGGTAACTACTATGAAGGGATAGAATATGACTCTAAAAATGAAAAATAATTTTTTTTTTGTTTTTTAAAAAGGGATTGATAAGATGTTGGTTGAAAAAGGGAAAAAGAAAAATTCAAAAAGAAATAATAAGACAAAAAGACAGTTAAAAAAATTAACTTTAAAATACTAAAGAATCATGGTAAAAAAGCCATAGATTCTATGTGCAGTAGTCCCCTAGCGCTGGAGTTCTGCCGTTCTCATTGATCGGTAAACTTGGTCTTGGCTGGCTGTTCTCGCTGATCTTCTGGGGAGGGGCCTGTTGCCGTGGTTTCCGAATGTCTCTGCCGGAGGTGGAATTGCCCCGCCCTTGCCCCCTCCCGGCTAAGTCATCTGCTCGGGATTGCTCTCCGGGGCTTTTGTTCCCTGCGAGCTTTCCGAAAGCTTTGGAGGCGGAGAGTGAAAATGGCAGCCTCCCAATCTCTGCCCCGGAGGAGCCGAGGACTCAGGGCCCTGCTCCTCAGTGAGCCCCCAGAGAAAAGCCGTCAGTCACTCCCGTCTCCCCGGTCTCCGGCCGCACTCCGTGCTCACCGGGCCTGCGACCGCGCGTTTCTCTCTCTGGCACCCGACCCCGGGTGGAGTCTCCAAACCCAGCAGATCTCTGTGGTGCGCTCCCGCGCGGCTCCTCCCCGGGGAGGAAGGTGAGTCTCCCCGGATCTGCCGCTTGTTGGGTCCCTGCTGGAGGAGCAGGGGCCCGACTGTGCCGCGGATCACGGTCAATGGCAACCCCGAGCTGAGAGCCCGCGCCTGGGCTCCGCCTCTGCAGCCGGCTTCCCTGCTCCGTTACCTGGGAGCTCTGCTGCCCTCAGGCACTCCCGGTCTTTCTGTGACCCCGAGGGTCCTGAGACCGCACTGTCCCGGAGGGTTCCACCCCCTGCTTAGCCACCAGAGTGACGTCCCTCAGTGGAGCAGACTTTTAAAAGTTCCGATTTTGTGCTCCGTAGTTCTATCACTTGCCAGAAGCAGCCGACGGAGGCCCCTCCCCCGCCGTCTATCCTCCCGAATATCGCCGCGGATTCACTTCTCCGCACGTCCTACCTTCCAGAAAGTGGTCACTTTTCTGTTCAGAGAGTTGTTGCTATTCCTTTCTTCGATCTCCTGTTGAGTTTGTAGATGTTCAGAACGGTTTGATCCCTATCCAGCTGAATTCCTGAGAGGAGACGAAATCCAGGTCTCCTACTCCTCCGCCATCTTGCTCCGTCACCTCGCTGATTCTCGCAATGAGCCAGAAGAGCTGCACAGAACCCCTGAGGTCCTCAGTGATGTCCACAGGGGACCCCGGAGGCTGTTAGGAGCCAGTCTCTGAGAGGATTTCTGAGGCCTCGGGGCTGTATATTGGGAAGAGGTCCCTGGGGCCTTCCTGAGCTCCACTAGGAGAGAATCCCGGGAGACTGCCTGAGGCTGTGTCAGGAGGGAGTCCCTGCGGATCCACTGAAACCTTATTGGAAGATCTCTGGAGATTCCCTGAGGTCATGTAAGGACAGGATCCCGGAAGAGCTCATCAGGCTATGCAAGAAAGGAGCCCTGAGGATCTAGTGAGGGTTTGTCAGCTGGGGATCACCAAGGATCCATTAAGATCACACCAAAGAGAAGATTCCTGGAGTTTCTATGGTGACAAAAGGGGGTCCCTGGAGAGTTCCCATGGTTGTCATTCATCCAACACACACTTGCAGAGGCAGAAGACCTCGGCCCCACTGAGCAGGATCTCACAAGCTACCTGTGGACACAGAGATCATAAAAACAGTCAGGTAAGTGTTGCAGGGTGGGCACAAGGACCTGTGGAAAGGGCATAAAATTCGGTGTCCGCGAGGTGAGCGAGCCATTCTGCTCTCCCGGGAGGGGCAGCCTTTGGGGGTGTTGGGCATACGGCTGCCGTACTGCATGTAAAGAACCCGGCGCAGACCTTGCGTGGGGCAAGAACTCCATCAGTGCTACCCATCAGTAAGCGAGGGGCACGGGCACACTTACACATGGAGCCCAATTCTTGTCTCACGAGAGAACTGGCGGAGGTGTGTCCGCGGACTGTCCTGCAGTCGGGAAAGGGCAGGACCTGGCTTCTCGGTCCGGGTCCGCGACCAAGAGAAATCCAGCGCCAGTCACGCACGTCACCCCACATCTTCGTTGGCTGCGTCGAGTTAAAAGAAGCAAACACCGAAACACCGAAAAATAACTTCAGCAGCTGTCATTTCACCACGTAACCAACGCAGACTCGCTCTTTTCAAAGATTTCACTCACTCGAGCGAGCTCTCGAGCGAGCGAGGGCACCAGCCGGGAAGGGGCAGGCGGAGGGGGAAGCAGAGTCTCCCCGCCGAGCGGGGGGCCCGACACGGGGCTCGAGCCCAGGGCCCTGGGGTCATGACCCGAGTCCAAGGCAGACGGCGGGCCGACGGAGCCGCCCGGCGCCCCAGCAGTGTAGACGGACTCTCCCTCCGCTCCGCTTCATGCCCACTTTTCAAAAACCCTGCCGGGGGCTTCCTGCGCCGGGTTCTGCGAGCCCCAGGCGCCCCCCACGCTGCGCCGACCCCGCTGCCCCTCGCTGCCTCCGCGCGCCCCGGGCCCTCCCGCCGCCTCGCCCGGCGGCAGAGCACAGAGCCGGACGGGGGCCCCAGCCAGCCGCCGACACACGGACCCCCACCGCCCGCACCGCAGCCGCCACACCCCTCCCCGGCGTCGCCCTTCAATGCCGTCACCCCCGCGCCTTGCGTCCGGCGCGCCTGGGCGGAGGCGGGACTTCCGGGCGCGCGGAGGCGGGACTTCCGGGAGCAGGCGGAAGAGCCTCTGGGCGCTGGGCTCAGGAGTCCGGGGGCCGCTGAGGGGCCGCTCGGGGTGCAGGAAAGGGCCACCGGGCCTGGCCGGCCGCGCTCGAGGTGTCGGGCCGCGGGCCTGAGGGAGGCGGAGGGGCCGTGGCCGGCGACGGGGCCCGGAAGCGGTTCTGGAGGCGCAGCAACGGCGAAGTCCCGGGCAGGTGGGTGTGACGGGGAGGCCGGGTCGGGGTCAGGGCTCAGAGGTCGGGCGGGCGCGTGGGCCCGCGGGGCTGCGGGTGGAGTCGGGGGTCTGGGGAGGGGTGAGCTGGGCTGGGAGAGGGCTGCTGGGGACGAGAGGGACGTTGGGGGGCCGGGGGGCTCGAGCGCAGGGTCTGGGCGGTGACGGGGGCTGCGCGCAGACCGAGGCTTGAAGGGAGGAGGAGCAGGTGCTCGCGAGTCTTCCCGAGGCCGCAGGCTCTCCTCGGTGACACTCCTCGGCAGGCTCTCCTCGGTGACATCCCGGGCGCCCTGGGAAGCCGAAGGGGACCGACTCGGGTCGCGCTGCGAAGGGTTCGGGGAGTGCGGACCTGGCCCGCTGGCCGCGCGGGCTGCGCTGGCCGGGCGATCGCCTCTCCGGGGGGCACGGCGGTGGGACCCACTTGAATGGCCTTCTTGTCCCTCCCGCGCTCGGCTGCGCTTGCCGGGCGATCGCCTCTCCGGGGGGCGCGGCGGTGGGACCCACTTGAATGGCCTTCTTGTCCCTCCCGCGCTCGGCTGCGCTTGGCCTCGAGCTCGAGGACTCGCTCCGGTGGATTTGAGCCTCCCTGTGAATTTCCACGTACCCCACCTTCCGGCCGCAAAACCAACTCCTTTCTTGAGTCCGCAGCAGGAAGCGAATTAAGAAAAAGAAATTAAACAAAAAATGAAGTGCGTGCAATGACCCGGGTGCACCCTGGAAGCTGTTCGGCTCCAAAGTCCTGATCAGCGTGCGGCTGATCCCCGGCCCGCGCCCCGGGGAAGGTGAAGACAGTGCGTGGACAGTGCCTGGCGAACGTAGATTAGAGAGAAACAGATGTCAAGGTTTCTTTTTCTTTTTTAAAGATTTTATTTATTTATTTGAGAGAGAAAGAGAGAGCACATGAGAGGGGGGAGGGCCAGAGGGAGAAGCAGACTCCCCGCTGAGCAGGGAGCCCGATGCGGGACTCGATCCCGGGACTCCAGGATCGTGACCCGAGCCGAAGGCAGTCGCCCAACTGACTGAGCCACCCAGGCGCCGCCACACTGAGGATTTCTTTTCTTTTTTTAAATATTTTATTTATTTATTTGAGAGAGAGAGAATGAGAGAGAGGGGGGAGGGTCAGAGGGAGAAGCAGGCTCCCCGCCGAGCAGGGAGCCCGATTCGGGACTCGATCCTGGGACTCCAGGATCATGACGTGAGCCGAAGGCAGTCGCCCAACCAATTGAGCCACCCAGGCGCCCCCGATGTCAAGATTTCTTTTTCTTTTTTTAAAGATTTTATTTATTTATTTGAGAGAGAAAGAGAGAGAGCGTGAGAGGGGGAGGGTCAGAGGCAGAAGCAGACTCCCCGCCGAGCAGGGAGCCCAATGCGGGACTCGATCCCGGGACTCCAGGATCATGACCTGAGCCGAAGGCAGTTGCTTAACCGACTGAGCCACCCAGGCGCCCTGCCATCATCTTTTAAATTATGGAGTCTTACCAAAAAAACTGTGTCACTGGTGTATCTCTAGTAGGTGATTTGGCCAGGGTCTCACACTGCATGAGAGGTGGTCTTGCCAGTAGCCCCCCCTCCTCTATTCACGCTGGTCCTCAGGTTGTCTATTTGGCTGGGGCTTTCTTAGAAGCTTCTGGGTGAAGCAGGATGTGTGATGTGGTGGAAGCACCTCTGACTTGGTTCTGTGGTCTGGGTTTCAGCCTTTTTTTTTCTATTAATCTCTGTGTGACTTTCAACAGGTCATGTCACCCCTGGGGCCATCAGTTTCTGCCAGTGTAACCTGATGAAGCTGGATGAGACCTAAGTGGCTGAGATCTCCAGGCACATATTTGTTCGTTCTGGTCCGATTCTCTTTGATGAGCACGAGAGAGGGCCTCTTGGAGGAGCTTTGAGAGTTTGAAAATTCATTCATTCAGTAGATATTTGTTTAACCAACTCTTGGTGCCAATAACAGTTCCAGGGGCTAGAGATACACCAGTGAACAAAACAGATCAGAACCAGTGCTGTCTCAGAGCTTACAGCGGAGCTGGAGGGGCAGAGAATAGAGACCATGACTAAGTTAAGAAGAGAGTTACCCCTGAGAAGATGGGAACTGTTATCCTGTTATTGAAACCTCAAGCAGAGAATTGGGATTGGGAGGCGTGTGGAGTGGGGAGGGTTTCCCGGTGATAAGGTGGCCAGAGAAGGTCTCACAGAGGAGGTAACATTTGAGGACTCACAGGAAGTGAGCGAACAGGCCCCCTGGGTGGCTGGGAGGACAGTGGTCTGGGCAGAGGGCCAGTGGAAAGTCCCCGGTTGGGAGCGACAGCGGTGTGCTCGAGAAGAGCGGGGGGCCTGGTGCCTGGAGCCAAGGGAGGAGGGGGAGAGTCCTGGGGCACGAGGTCCGGAAGCTGGTGGGGGCTGGCCTCGTGGTCACAGTGGAAAGACGTGGGCTTTCTGTCTCTTATTCTGATGGGGGAGCGCTTTGGAGGGTCTTGGCAGAGGTGTGGCAGGATCCCTTTGGCCTCTGGGTGGATGGCAGGATAGGGGCTGGGAGGGAAGGACGGACGCAGGGAGACCAGTTCGGAGGCTGTGGTGAACGTCCCGGTGAGAGAGGATGGTGGTGCTGCGAGAATCAGAGGGCGGGTGATGGGGATCAGGACGCGTTCAGTCTGTGACTCTCTGGGGCTGGTTCTCTCTTGGGCCAGTGACCCACTTGGCTCCGAGGGGCGGCTGCTCTCTGCAGTTGTGGGTGGCACTCTTGCCACACTTAGCTGTCAGTGGCAGGACGAAGTCACCGCCCACCGCGGTGCGAGCGCAGGCGGCCCTCCGGCGTGGGTCCGCCGGGGCCGCGAGCGCTGCGCACAGGAGGCCGTGCGGGCGGTGGGGCCTGTGGAGGGCGACGTTTGTGAGCGGGATGGAGGCAGGAAGGGCCCAGACTGAATCGGCAAGGCTGTGGGTGCTTGGGGTGGAGCTGGAGGAGAAGACAGCTCATGGTGTTGTGGCTCCGACAGCTTTCAGCTTCCAGCGGTCACAGCCCGAGGAGTCTCCGTGCCGGTGAGACATGAGCTCCACCGTCATTGTAACAGGCCGTCATCACTCATCAGCTGAGGGGAGGACTTGTTGGGGGGACAGTTCATTCGTTCAGAACGCATTCTGTGTGCTAGGTCCCGTGCTGAATGCTGAGCCAAGAGATGTGGCTCTCAGAGGCTGCTGGGGAGAGGGAGACGGTAAGCACATTGGTATGTTCTTCGAAGGTCATCATCTGGGGGCATTGGCAGAAGCACAGGACCCTGTGTCAATGGAAGGCCATGCCCTTCCAGAAGAGGTCATGCCTGACCTGAGACCTGTAGGTGGAGAGGGAGCCAGCCCACAGAGATGCACAGATGCGGAGATGCGGGGTGGGCGTCAGAGCACTCCTGGCATGGGAAGGGTGCTGTGGGGACCCTGGGGCTGGGGAGGAGGACGGCAGGAGGGGAGCCTTGTGAGAAGAGGGGTGAGAGGCGGGCAGGGCTCGGAAGGCCATAGAAAAGGGCCGCCATGAAGCACTGAAGGGTGGCGATCACCAGGGTTCTGGCCGGAGGGATGGGGCGTGGTTGCAGAATGATGAACCCCAAAGATGTGTGCATCCTTATCCCTGGAACCTGGAACCAGACCACATGGCCAAAGATTGGAAGGTGCAGATCTGCTGACCCTGAGGTGGTACCTTTTCCTGGGTGGCCTGGTGGGTCCAGTAGAATGGAGTGAGCGCTTAAAAGTGGTCAGAATCAACAGCAGATGGACGCTTGTCTTGTCGCTGGCTCTGAAAGTGGAGGCGGGGGCCATGAGCCGGGGGGTGCGGTGGCCTCCAGCATTTGGAGTGGCCTTCTGCTTGCAGCCGGCGGGAACCTCAGTCCTACAACTGCAGGAAACTGGATTCTGCCAACAGCCTGCATGAGCAGGACGTGGACTCTCCCCAGAGCGTCCAGAAATGAGTGCAGTGGCCAACACCTACACTTTAGTCCCGTGAGAACTGCCTTGGACTCTGACCTCCAGACTTTAAGATAATAAGTGTGTTTCAGGCTGTGTGTGGAGGACCGTTAGAGCAGCCACAGCAAAACCCTGAAGTGGGAGGAGGAAGGTTGGAGGAATGTGCGGGAGGGATGTTGGATGGGAAGGGTTGTGGGTAGCCCTCCGCATTTTATGCTACAGGAGAAACCAGGTTTTGCTAAAAGCATCTAGGAAATTGCAGAGCTAGGATCTAGATGTCAAGCTGCCTGACTCCCAGCCCAGGTTCTGATCCATTTTCTGTAGCTTCTACACCAACACATTCTGTCCTATAAGCTAAGCCACCATACCTCGTATTTTCAACGTCTTACTAGACGCCATGACTCCATGAAGAGGGGAAACCTGCATTAGGTCCATTTTATAGGCAAAGAAACTGATGCTTAGGTGATCAGTAACTATTCCAAGCCTATACACTTAGCACACGAGAGACTTGTCCTTGTCCTTCTGGAGACCTTATGTATGTCATAAATGAAGGATTTTTTTTTTTTTTTTTTTTTTTTTTTTTTTTTTTTTTACTGTGCTCTTTTCATGCTCTTTTGGGACTGTGTGAAACACCTTGAAATTTTATTTTTTTATTTTTTTATTTTTTTTAAAGATTTTATTTATTTATTTGAGAGAGAGAGAGAATGAGAGACAGAGAGCACGAGAGGGAAGAGGGCAGAGGGGGAAGCAGACCCCCTGCCGAGCAGGGAGCCTGATGCGGGACTCGATCCCGGACTCCAGGATCATGACCTGAGCCGAAGGCAGTCGCTTAACCAACTGAGCCACCCAGGCGCCCCACCTTGAAATTTTATTAGAAAACATTGTCATATGATTTAAACTTGCTATGTGTATCATGTTGGTCCTGTGATGACTCAGAATTCCTTAAATGACTTTTTCCTCTCCCTTCAAACAAAATCTTAGCAGTACCACTGCAGAATACCAGTGTGAAATATCATAAAGCAGGTTATTCCAGCCAAGAATCCGAGGTGAGGCCAGCTTTAAATTGTTGAGGCACATTAAAGTCAAATCAGTGGTGAGAATGCTGACAGCTCCTCCTCAGAAAAGATGTCTCTGTGGCACATTTAAAAATCATATCCCCCAGTGAAGATGATTAAGAACTTGGACATATTCGTATCTGTGGCCACAGAGGAGAAAAAGGGATCATTTTCATCACAGGTCAGTGCTGAGCACACTGAACTCCTTAGAATAGCTGTCCCTTTCTTAATTCGTCCAAGGATTCTTAATTTATTTTGCTTATTATCAGAAGCGTCTCCCCCCTTGAGGAAACATAAAATTTATTAAGAGAATTGTAACTTAAAATATTCAGAGCACTCCTGGCATCTTTACTTAAATGGATGCAAGAAATTTTACTGCAAGAAAGTATATATTGATCCCTGTAGCTGACTTGTCATGTTTAGTATTTTTCTCTTTGCACAAGAAGAATAGCTTCTGTAATGTGAATTTAAATGATACGTCAAGCTAATAAATGTGGTTGGCCTAGCAAGTGATAAGCATAACTAACTCAATTTAAATGTCTTTTATATAAAAATAATGAACCAGTGCATTAAAGATTAAAAATGTTAATGCAATTAGCAAAAATTAGCATTCAATAAAGAAGTGTGTTTCAGTTTTGAGATGGATGATACATCATTCAATGACCAGATAAGGACTAAATTCAGGTACACTTTATTCAGCTGGCGTGTATGTTAAAAACCAAATAAATAAAAATTAAATGTTTTATTTGCCCCTTTACAACGACGTGGGTGGAACTAGAGGGTATTATGCTAAGCGAAATAAGTCAGTCAGAGAAAGACAATTATCATATATAATCTCACTCGTATGTGGAATTTAAGAAACAAAACAGGGTCATAGGGGAAGGGAGGAAAAAATAAAACAAGACAAAACCAGAGAGGGAGACAAACCATAAGAGACTCTTAATCATAGGGAACAAACTGAGGGTTGCTGGAGGGGAGGGGTTACAGGAATGGGGTAACTGGGTGATAGACATTTAGGAGGGCACGTGATGTAATGAGCACTGGGTATTATATAAGACTGATGAATCACTGACCTCTACCTAGACATGAAACCAGTAATACATTATATGTTAAGTAATTGAATTTAAATTAAAAAAAGTAAATGCTTTATTTGAATAAACTTTGATAAAACAGTATGTGGCATGTAGACAAAAGGACACGCAGGTCCTTGGGGACTGTGCCAGAAACCAGGGCATGAGGTGACTTAAAACATATTGTCACCTGCCTCCTTGTGGGGGAGGTAGAGGGGATGTAGCAGGTGTGACAGTGAACGTGGGACTGGAGGGGAAATGAATTTTCCTGGCTTCACTGCTAAATAAAGTGAGCATTTTTGGTTTGGGGACGCTGACTTTAAAACAGTGGAGTATACAGTGGTGTCGCTATTTGCCTTAATGTCGCTGTGGCGTCTTGTCACTCTATGCTCATCTGCAGGTGGATGGCAAGCATTCCGATGAGGCAGCCTTGATCCTCCACAGGAAGGGGTTTGACTGCCACTTCTCGAGCAGAGACACGGGGCTGCTTTGTTCCACAACCCAGGGAAAGGTGAGCTGAAAAGTGGTTTTTGCTTGTTGATTTCATGTGCTTTGAAATCCTTGCTTTCTGCTAATCATTCTGACAATAAGATAACGTTTCATTGCCTCTTCGTGGACTCATTCCCCTCAGCTGCTGTAATTTAGCTCAAGTCTCTCCATCTTAAGAAAGCACTTTCTCAACCTTCGATCTCTTCTCCTTGTCAGCATCAAAATGCACGTCTGGAACATGGGCACGTGTAGGGGCAACATTCTCCTCCATTCCTAGGCCTTCCGTTGCCAGCCGACAAAACATCCTCTCCCCACCCCCCATCCCCCAATATTCCCTCCTCTCTCACACATGCTCATGTAGGATCTAGGTCCATGAAGTCTCAGAGGGGCAAAAGCAGGTTTTATAATAACTAAAGGTGGGGTGGGGTGGGGTAGGGAAGTGGTGACACTGGCCAGTCGGGGAGTTTCACCACGGCCCCGAAGCAACCTTACTTAGCTCCAGTCAGTTGTTGTCGCAGGGGAAATGAGGGTCTAGATCTCCTGATCAAGACAGATTTGCATAGGAGTCCTCACTGTGCCAGCCAAACAGGTCTTCAGGCTGACCTGCCGGCTGCCCAGTTTTTCTGTCTCCTTTGAGCTGGTCTTTCTGATAGTTCCCTCAGGCTCTCCTTGGAAGGAAATGAACCTCCAGCCTTCTGCCTCTGGCTCTGAGCAGGTTGTGCTCAGAGAAGACAGCTGGATGGCACACAGGCAGGTCTGCCCCACGGGGCAGCTCAGCTGACCCAGCTCTTCTCCAAAACCTCACAGATAACCTGTAGATCAGACTTAAGAGATTCATTTCCAACCCTACCAACTAGAATGTGCATAGGGTCTGAAAAGGAGAGAAAAGACAATATGGTAGGGGGTCAAAATCCACTTAGGCAGATAAGCTTCTTCATTTCTCGTATCATGCCCTCCGTGGAATTGGTGCGAAGAAAGCACTGATGGTTTGGGGTTTGTTTTTCATGATATTTACGCTTTACCTTATTACTGATGATGTGAGTGTACTTGGTTGTAAGCATTTGTATATAGACATTAAGGCGTCAAGTTTTAAGGGTATTATATGGTCCAGAGAGACATGGGGTGAGGGTAGTACTTTCTCAGCAACCCCCCAACCCTGAAAATGGGACTCACTGACATGAGGAGCCTGTGTCCTTTCTCTCAGCTCTTTGGGAACAAGAAGAACGACAACTGTTAGGTGTAAATGTTGGGTGTAAGAGGATACGGATGTTTTTAAAGCTTGCTGGCTCATAGATGTGTTTTCTTTTATTGAAAAAGTGGCCCCTGCACGTGATAAGTTCTCAAGAAATTCAGAAGAAGAATGTAGAGTGAGCTGTCCTCTCCTGGTTACACTTCTCCTAGGTGTCCCTCCCAGGGTGGTCTGTGTGTCCAGGCTCGCATAGCTGTATCTAATCTCCTTCCTCTTCCTCTTTTTATCATTAAAAGGAAACTTCAAATACACTGTTTTACTCTCCTACTATTTTCCACTGAATAAATATATAGATGTGCTACTAATCTTTCTTCAAAGTTGACCTAACTGTGCAATTTTTTTTATCATTTATTTTCTAGATTTTGGTACAGAAGCTTTTTAGCATGTTTACTGTCGCAAGTCTCATACCTTCGTCATTATCCTTGATGCATTCACCTCCAGACGCCCGAAATATAAGTGAGATCAACTTGAGTCCCATGGAAATCAGCACATTCCGAATCCAGTTGAGATGAACCTGGCTTTCAAATTTGGATGGGAAGCACTGTCTTTTATACACTTCTTGGTTTGACATGCAATAAGGAAGCACATTATTTTAGCTTCTGGCTACTGTGAGGACATGAATTCTGTGATTGTTATTATAATTATTATTATTATTTTTTTTTTTACTAGTACAGAAAGAAAAAAAAAAAAGCCATGCTATAGCCAGTTTTTCTTTAAGTTCCATCCATGAATCACCACCATCAGTATGAATCGATGCAACAATGAAGGAAGAAATGTCTAAAACAACCTCTCCACAGATTGTATCTCAGGTTAAATGCTAACTAACTATATCTGTGTCGGGAGTTGTGAAGAGATTGTTATAAGTATTCATGTTGCTGATCCTTCATTAGTTTTACAAAAATACCCATTTTTACCAAAATGGAATAAAAAGCTGAAGGGTAATAGCTAATGGCCAAAATGGTTGCAATCGTTCATACGCATTCGAAAAATTTTGTGTATTGAAATATGTGGAAAAGTGCAATCCATCAACCCTTATGATATCTGTACATCATTGATCTTCACACCTTTTTCTAATGTACCACTTGACCCCTCCCTTCTCACTCTTTGTATTTCCAGAAATAGCAGATTTTGAATCATTCAATAGTAGAAAAAGAGGCATATTTTCATTACTTGACAATGTGGGTGGGATAGGTGCAATTTATTCCATTGTCACTAAGATAGAAACAGCAATCCCATAGGTACCATAACCTCTTTTAGGTACCACAAGGTGTCTTTTTACACAGCTCATTTGAATACAGATGTTCGGAGAGGGGTTTTCTATTTTAAAAATAACCATATCAAAATAAATGTGCCTTATTTTTTTATAAGTCTTGTTAAATCTTTTGGTGTCCATATGACTGAGGAAGGGGGAGAGGGCGGGGGTGGGGAGGAGGTGGGTACTTTCTATGACACGTAAAGTGTTATCGGTTTTGCCTGACAATGCTGGCCACATTCTGATCTGTTTCATTAAATTTGTGGTGATGTTATTCTAAACATTTTGACTATTTGAATGTACTGAGATGTCAGAAAACAAAACAAGGAAGAAAAAGTACTGTTCATTAAAATCCGCTGCTGCCAAGAAGATGGCAGCTTGAAGCAAGGATTTTGTGACATGCAAAATCCATACACTGTTTCCGTTTCACAGGAGGTAACTCTATGAAAGAATGCTTTAAAAGGGACCCTGTTTTGAAATCCACTTATAGGTAGCTCATCCTGATTTCTTTTATTAAAGAACATGTGTGTTGAGTGAATTCCAAACTTTTGTACGTGCTAACCTCAAAGTGAAGTTCCAAGCCTATGTGCCATTACAGTACTTTTGATAAAATTTATTTGGGATCATGATTAACATGACATTAACACTGAAGCAACATTAGAAACATTTAGAATATTCAGTTTTAGGATAGAAAGGATTCACTGAGTATGTACACTTTTGAAAATTCTCTTTGTGTTACCTAATAAATTTATTATTCTCTGACTTTAAACTTCCTTTTACCTCCTGCCATTCCAGCATCTTTATAGAGAAGTTGAAACCTAATTTCTGTTTCACCAGGTAGTCTGATGATCATCCTTTTTTTTTTTTTTTTTTTTTTTTACCAAGATGCAGCTCCTACAATTATTGCTAAGTTATGTTAAGTTCATAAATTTTTTTCGCCTTTAATAATTAAGGAAACAATACTGGTGTTGATGAAGATATTATAAGGGAGTAATGTCATGCAATAAACATGTACTGTAAGTTTCCTTCCTCATTTTGGGGGATAAACAACTAAAAGAAAAAAAAAAACAAAGCACTTCCTTTTTGTGGACATCTACAGATGTTAAGATTGCCAGAAGCAAATCCCAGGAATAAGATCAGTATTTTCATTGCATCTTAAATGTAAAACCTTCCTTTGGGAGTTCACTGTGTTCTGTGGTTAAGTGGGTGTGCTTAATCATTGTGGAAATTCTGATCAGTTGAAATTAAAAATCTTGATGCAATAACAGTGGTTTTGCCACTTCTGGTTGTTTGAGATGGATCTGTCCCATGTCAGTCGGGGTCTTAGTGTGTGTTGCCACCGTTCACAGGTAAAGCAGAAATTCTCTTTAAACCAGCAAATTTCTGCTTTTTATTTTTAGAATAAATCATCAGGGAAATGAGGAGAGGATGCTTTTGCTTTGGGTTGCGGTCACGAACTGATTAATTTAGTGTCTCTGGCACACCTAAAAACCATACATTTCAGTTGTGATCTCGGTGGCATATTTGTTTGCTTGGGTTTTATTACATTTGTTACTGCAGATGTTCGGTTGAGCGAGTAGGTCATTCCTGTGATTTTTTTTTTTTTTTTTTTTTTGGTAATTTGAGCTTTTTACCTGCAGTGTTTGAGAACTCGGCATTCTTGTTTTCTTCAAATACTGATTAAAATAAAATGCTATAAAATGTGTTGTGAAACATTTTAATTACCTTCCCATGTCTTTGTTGTACTTGTGTCGAAATGTTTTCACATTCCTTTGGAAGAAAATCTTTGCTTTCATTTTGATTATGTTGCTTATCTTGGAATCAAATAGGTTTTGATATTTTTCTCTTGGAAGGTTTTATATCTTTTTGGGAATATGTAATATAAGATCTCTAATAAAAGATAAATCTTACCATGTACGTAGTCCTCCAGAGTGCTGCTTAAGTCTTATTTTGTAAACAACAAGAATTAGTACATTTTGAGGGGTAGGGTGGAAGAGTGAGGGTCTGTTCTTCGTTCCTTCAAGAATGAATCACTCCACCTTCTGCCCAGTGCTAGTTGGGAAATACAGTTTTAGAGAGCAAGTGGCAGGCGGGGGTGGTGATGAGTTCGTCTGGGTTTGTGGCCACCTTTGAGTTTGGGGTCTAGGAACCTTCCAGACAGTGGTACCTGTGGGGCCTTCTGAGCCAATTGGAGGAGCAGGGTCTGGTCAGATTCCGTATATTACAGGACAGTAGTGAGAGGAAGATGACACAGGAAGCCAAGAAGTTTCCTGTGAGCTGATCAGGAGGGCGAGTGGGATCTGGAGGCACCCCGCCGGCCCCACCCAGCGCCCAGGGCGGTGGCTTTCAGAGACTTCCTTCAAAGGCGGGAGGTGGGGCGGCTGAAGGACAAATACACAGGTCTGTAGAAGACATAGATTTGAGACAGTTCTTAAAAGATGCATTTGATTCGAACAGAGACAACACGTGTGTTCCTTGGAAAAGACAGAATAAGGAAAGATGGTAACAGGAGGCATAGAGAACGAGAAATCGTTTCCTCTGCCTGGAGCAGCGCCACCCAGTAAAACTTTCTTTAATAAGGGCAAGTTCGTTATCCATGGGCTGTCCCATAGAGCAGCCACTAGCCACCTGTGGCTTTGAGCATTTGAGATGTAGTAGTGCAACTAAGGAACTGGATGTCTTATTTTAGCTTAATTAAATTTAGCAACATGTAGCCACTGTTTCAGTACCGGTCTGTACATGGTATGCACAGGACAGTAGTAGGAAATGCAACCAAATATGTAAGTTAAGTTCACTTGTGCTAGAATCCTGCTACTGAGTGTGGTTCTCAGACCAGAAGCTGTGACATCACCTGGAAACTGGTTAGACAAGCAGAATCCCAGGCCCCACCTCAGACCTCCCGAGTCACAATCTGCACTTTACAAAGATCCCTAGAGGATTCACATGCACACTAAAGCACTGGCCTAGAACATCCCCAGGGAGTAATTTCTCTCTGCTCTTACCGAACTTTTCCAAGTAGCTCTTGACCGTAACTCCTATACCTCACAGTCTCTAGGAAGCATCCCATAATACCTGCCTGCTTGTCCCACTGCCACCCAATTCCAAGTCACCTTCGTGCACCTGGGACTCTGCCTTACAAAAGAGTTGTAAGAGGGCTCCTGCCCCTTATGTCTCTTTTTTTTCACACAGAAGCCAGAAAATAAAAGAAAGTAAAATTTGAAAAATATCTTCCCTCTTGAAAACTGTGTGTTTCCCGTTACACCTGGAATAACATACAACCTTTCACCATGGCCAGAAGCCGTGCCTGGCTTGGTCCGTGTCCTTCTCCTTCATCTCAACTCTGAGAAGGGGGCGAGGGTGTTTAAGAAATCCTTTCCCGACCCAAATCAGCTTTATCTCCCACCACGCCCCCTTCTGACTGTTGTCTAGGATCCTTATGGGTCTCTAACATGCCAAGATTATCCCTCTTGGGGGCTTTGTACTTGTTCCTTCTGCTTCAAACTTGCTCTCAAATCCTCCCCTGGCAGGCACCTTATTATTCTGGTTTAATTCAAGCATCATCTTCTCAAGAATCTTCCTTGACCAGCCAATTTAAACCAGTCCCACCTCCACTCCCTCACTGAATATTTTTATTACACTGCTTCCTTTCTGCTTAAACAGAGTCAAATTTGAAATGATGTAGTTTGCCTTCCCCACCAGAATATAAGCTCTCCTGAAGGCAAGAACCCCAGCATTTATTCAGCATTGCATCCTCACACTTGGAACAGCAGGCGTTCGGAAGATATTTGTTCAATAAATGAATGAAAATATGTGTACCACCAGTAAATGTTGTGAAACAAGAATTATAATTTTCAGAATTACAATTTTTCCAAATCCCTTACATCTTAATCTGCTCATGTTATTTTCCTGCTCAAAAGCCTTCAGGAAGTTCCCATTACCAGAAATTAAAGTATAGAGGTTTCAAACTGCATTCCTAATCTCCCTGAATTATGTGACCTCCTTATGGAAGATACTGTCGTTGCTTAATGACCAGTCATTGCCCCTCTGCCTTCCATGCTAATAAACCCTGATTTTATTCATAATCAGATACCCAGGAGCTTCAGGATGTGAATTGTTCTTGATCTAAATTAGTCATGAGAATTTTCTTCTCCAGGCTGGATGATGAATTTAGGAATTGGCATGTGACACAATTTTGGCCAATGGGAAGTCAGTTGGGGACTCCTGGGGGAGGCCTCCTTCCTCTTCAGAAGGAGGGAGCATCTTACCCTCAGAGCGCAATGTTTAAAGGTAGTATTGGTGTAACTGTTGATGCTTGGGCTGCTGCAGCCACTTTTGCAACCTTGCGGTGGCAAGCCTGAGGACAAAAGTCAACTAGACGACCAAGTCAAAAATGAGTAGAGCCTGGGTCCCTGATGATATTGAGCAGCTGAATGAACCAACTCCAACCTTCTTGTTATGTGAAATAATGCCACCTTGCTAAATGTTTAAGCCATTTGAGCTTAGTGTTTTGTTAGAAAGAGCTAAAAACACTTAAACTGGTGGTTCTCACCACTGCCCCAGTGC